TATCTATCTTACTTATCTATCTATCTATCTTACTTATCTATCTATCTATCTTACTTATCTATCTATCTTACTTATCTATCTATTTTGCTTATCTATCTATCTTACTTATCTATCTATCTATCTTACTTATCTATCTATCTATCTTACTTATCTATCTATCTATCTTACTTATCTATCTATCTATCTATCTTACTTATCTATCTATCTATCTTACTTATCTATCTATCTTTCTTACTTATCTATCTATCTATCTTACTTATCTATCTATCTATCTTACTTATCTATCGATCCATCTTACTTATCTATCTATCTATCTTACTTATCTATCTATCTTACTTATCTATCTATCTATCTATCTTATCTATCTATCTATCTATCTTACTTATCTATCTGTCTATCTATCTTACTTATCTATCTATCTATCTTACTTATCTATCTATCTTACTTATCTATCTATCTATCTTACTTATCTATCTATCTATCTTACTTATCTATCTATCTATCTTACTTATCTATCTATCTATCTATCTTACTTATCTATCTATCTATCTTACTTATCTATCTATCTTTCTTACTTATCTATCTATCTATCTTACTTATCTTTCATCTATCTTACTTATCTATCTATCTATCTTACTTATCTATCTATCTATCTATCTTACTTATCTATCTATCTATCTTACTTATCTATCTATCTATCTATCTTACTTATCTATCTATCTATCTTACTTATCTATCTATCTATCTTACCTATCTACCTATCTACCTATCTATCTACCTATCTACCTATCTATCTATCTATCTCTATCTATCTCTATCTATCTATCTATCTATCTATCTATCTATCTATCTATCTATCTATATATATATGTATCTATCTATCTATCTATATCTATCTATCTATATCTATCTATATCTATCTATATCTATCTATCTATCTATATCTATCTATCTATATCTATCTATATCTATCTATATCTATATCTATCTATATCTATCTATCTATCTATCTATCTATATCTATCTATCTATATCTATCTATATCTATCTATCTATATCTATCTATATCTATCTATCTATCTATCTATCTATCTATCTATCTATCTATCTATCTATCTATCTATCTATCTATCTATCTATCTATATAACCGCATGAAGTGCGACCCTGGAGCCCAATTTGGCAACAGTTGTAGAAAACCCGTTGACGCTAGAACTCCTCAGGTGTTGTTTTCTGCTGATGATGGCATCACCTTTGACTGAACGGTTCGCTGCATGAATTGCTGTTCCACATATAATATCATCCTGAAGTCGATAGAATAAGATTTTTCAAATATATTTCCATTTTGCCATGATTTTGGAAGAATAATTTTCCATATTCTATCTACTCCAGGATTATTGTATATCATATATAGATATTGTATACATGTGTATATGTACATACATCATGATAAGATCCGAATATTACACACAGATGATACATACATATATATAGATATTCTATAATATAAATGTATGAATATATAGATATGGTCTGGTATAATTCATATATTACACACAGATATTAACACACCACGAAATGTATAGATAACATTCATCGCTAGGAGATGCGGGCTTTGCTGCGAGATGCCGCATCGGCCGAGATTCGGCGGTGCATTTTTGGGCTATGGGTAGCTGATTCACTGGACTAATATTCACTGGAAAACCATAGGAAAACCATCGGAAAATGGTGGTTTTTTTATGGGATTTAATGGGATTTAATGGCACTTACCCTCTGGTAAACGTTTACATAGCGAACTGGAAAATCACTATGCTATTAATGGGAAAACTCACTATTTCGACTGGGCCATTTTCAATAGCTTTTTGTATGTTTACCAGAGGGTAGCTGATTATTGCTAATACCATCTGGTTATGACTAACAGTTCGCAATGGAAAATCATTCTTAATAGGTAAACCATCCATTTTTAATAGTATACCCTCTGGTAATGACTAACATAGCTATTGAAAATGGTCATTTATAGTGAGTTTTCCCATTAAAAATGGTGATTTTCGATAGTTACGTCAGTTTACCAGACGGTAACCAGAGGGTAGCTGATTATTGCTAATATCATTAAAACTACCAGAGGGTAGTCCACATAATATATTCATATGAGACTTTGGACTGATATTAATATCAATATCAGTTCATATCACTTAAGAGGCTTTCGGAAAGTGACAGTAAGTGGTTTAAAACCGATATATATGTATATATATATATATAGCATATTAAGCCTTGAATCCAACTGGGGTATTTCACACGGTTGTTACCCACTTACGAATTCGGGGTTAGACCCTCAAGAAAAAGTTTTTCATGACTCTTTGGAGAGGTTTGTGGACTGGGGTTAACTTCGATAGATCTGTTTAGAATCTGGGATCCACAATGTCGCAAACCATCTTGAATGATCGACCATAAAAAGGGAACATCAAGTTAATCATCCCAATTGTAGGAGTAAATATATATAAATATCTATCATAAATCACAATTTGCGGATGATGACTATTATTGTGGATCCCGCATTAGACGGGTATGAACAACAACTATCACCTCCTCAAATGGAAGGTTTAACACTGCCTAAAGCGATCAACATGTGGAGATCTGTGGGGTGAGTCGGTACCTTTCATTGACCAATTTTCATTTGTTGCATCCCTCTGCAAACCATGTAACTGGCTGGAGTTTCACTGTTCCTATGTCAACGTTTGTGTCTGAAAATGGGTTGCAACACCAAGTTTATGGCCATTCTATGGAAACCTGATGATCAACCAATTGGATTTTGAGGTACAATCTGGAGACTTTCCCTCATTTTTTTGGGGCGCCTGGGAGGGTCCGGGTAGACCCACCCATGTTTCAGCTGAGGAGCAGCTCATCAAGGAACTTCATGGGGACAAGACAGTGGAGACACTGGCAACCGCACAGGAAGCGGGAGAGAAACTCATGGAGCTGAGCCAAAAGATAGGTGGGCTCGGTGGGCTCGGTGGGCTTGGGGATGCCATGGGGAGAGACGTGTGGCTTTGAGCGCCAAGTGTGGCTTACCAGGCTTACCAATCTTGCCAGACCTATGGCTTAATTACATGGATTTACATGGAAGAATGTTGGGTGAGAATTGCTGTCCATTTCCGAGATCTCATGAACTTCTCAACTTCTCCATCCCGTGACAGTCAATCTTCGCAATCTCCACCCATTGAAAGGTATTCAAGCACTGAAGGATCTTGTTTTTTTGTTGGCTTCATCCCGGATGAAGCCTCCACCAGCTAAGCAGAATTCCAAGCCACATGCCGCATGTGGAAATCAATCCACCTGGTTTCTTGAAGATTGTAGTGTTATAATGTGTTATATATCATCATGTGGTTTATAATCATGATATAGTTGGTTTATCGTAAAAAACATTATCCTGGTTTAGTTGGTTTATATCATGTTATATCTATGGCGAATGGGATTATCAACCAACCCATAATCCTAGCCACGGTTGGGGGGTTTCTCGGGAGAATGTGGCCTCTTGACTCGCCACATGGCTTAAACCCGCTTAAACGTACCGGCGGGTTGGGAGCAAGGGAAGCACTTAACATGTCAACGACAAAGAACTCCCCTGGATTGTTTAATTTGGGGTACCATTTTAGTATCACAATTTGCGGGAAAAAACCTGGTTACCTGGTTACCCTGGATTGATCAACCAGACTTTATCAATCCGGGGTGGACATTGCCAACATAATTTTCCGTACTGAAATTAGGTTTGAAACTCGGAAAAAACACATGGCTTCCTGTAGATTTTCCTTCATTTTTTGGATCCACCAGGTGGTGCCCCCAAGTTAGTTGTTTTATAACTCCTATAACTCCAATTTCACTTGGGGTTATGGTAGATATATCTCTATAGTTCCTATGGTTTGTAAACCAACTTAGAACCGCTGCCCCCGAGCTATAAACCCCATTCAGTATGGTCATATCCCCCTCCCAAACCTTCACCAAGTGATATGTTCAGCGGCTCGGGGGCCCCACCTTCTAGGGCAGCACCAGGCGAGTTGGCCCCCAGCCTCTCGGAAGCCTCGATGGAAGTAGCCGAGTCTTCTCTGGCCCTGGCGGCGCGTCACGCGGCGGTGCCTTGTGCGCTGCTGCTGACGGATGTGGCGCTCTCCATGACGCTGGAGGCATCGAGGTTGCAGCTGACGGGGAAGAGCTTGCTGGACACTTGGCAGATGCCTTGGGTTTGCTGATTTATATTAGATTTTGGTGGGATTTAACATATTTAAACATAGGGATATGGTTGGAAAATAGGTTTCGGATGAGCTTGGGATGCAGGGGGAAGGCCCTTGATGGTTTGGGACCTGACATTGAGTTGGGCATGACGTCCGAATTTATGAGGACTTGGCGATATTTGTCCCGAGGTGGCTGGCGCAGCTTCTTTTAAGCATGATCTAAGCTGCTTTCTCAAGCTCCAAATTTTGCTGAACATTTGCCGTTTTTTTGTTCTAGAGGTTCTACCCTCTGGTAATTTAACATAGCTATTGAAAATGACCATATATAGTGGATTTTCCCATTAAAAATTGTGATTTTCCATAGCTATGTTAAATTACCAGAGGGTACCATTTCCACCCAACGTTTCCTCCAGACCCGACACACCAGGAGGTGAAGCGTGACACCCTGGGGACCCTGCAGACGTTACAGCAGAATCTGAGCATGGCCAAGATTTTGGGCTCGGTGGATGCCGACACCTGGCAGATCAGCATAGATCGGACCCGGCTCGGTCAGTCAGCATAGATGGCATAGATCGCAGATCGTAAAGTCACAAGGGGTGAAGCATCCCAACAATTAGAGCAATTGGTAAGTATTGGTAAGTGATATTTCAAATTAAAAGTGATGAACAATGATGAAACGATTGGGAATTCCAAGAATGGATACTATTTCTGATTTGGGAATTAATTATAGACTATAGATATGAAAGTAATGTGTCCAGATGATAGCGGTAGATGGTAGAAAATCGCCAAGCAAAGATGGGCAATCAACATGGATCACCATGGGTGTATGTTATGCCCTCCAGCTGGCGCGAAACAACTGATACGTGCCATGGTTAAACCATGCTACATTTTCATTTTTTTTCAAGTTTTTGCGGAATGATTATCAATCCGTTTCATAGGGATTTATATACAATGGAAAGTCCACCATGTTTTTTGGATGGTTCACCCTGTGGAGACTTCCATTTATAAGGCGTTTTCCATTGCCATGGCAATGAATACCGGAGGGTAACCACTGTGCTTGGAACCATGGCATGGGATTACCAGGAACCCCATGCACTGTTCGCCCAGGAAACCTTCAAGCTGTCAGTGGGTTTGGTCAGGAAAGTCGCTGGGCGACTGAACATCTCATCCTTTGAAAAATCTCAAAACAACCTTGCTAGGGAAGATCATCACGAAATTTAGAATTAACTTCCTGAAAAATTGGGATTGTCATTACATGCAATAATTGCCCTATATATATATAGTGTATATATATATAGTATATATATATACTACTATATATATAGTATATACTATATATATACTATATATCTATACTATATATATATACACACTATATATATATACATATATATATATATACATATATATATACATATATATATATACACATCTAGTAAACCTGAAGTTTTTCTGTTGATTTCCGGTGACAGTTCCACAGCCGCCTGAACAACAAATGCCCACCTTTCGCTGGGCCACGTTTCGGCACCTCAAGGCCACCAGTCGCATCCTCCACAGCATCAAGGAGGTGCAAAAGGCCAGTGATGCTGCGCTGCAACGAGGTCTGCGGGGAGATTTTTTTTCTCCCATCTCTGAGGGGTTCAATGGATCATTTATAGATGTTTTTGACATGATATAACTATCATTTATAGATGTTTTTGACATGATATAACTATCATTTATAGATGTTTAACATGATATAACTATCATTTATAGATGTTTAACATGATATAACTATCATTTATAGATGTTTTTGACATGATATAACTATCATTTATAGATGTTTTTGACATGATATAACTATAATGGGCTTTCTAAAGCAACTTTTTTGACTGGGGGGAACCATCCTCTGGGGTTCAATGGAGGTTTCCTAAGTCATGGTGGTACCGCAATAGCACGCTGGAGGGTTTATTTCATGGAACATCCTAAAATACCACGGATGATGACTGGGGGTACCCCTCTTCTAGGAAACCTCCAAATACTCACCAAGAAATCAACATGGGGGTTGAACTTTAATCATTTTATGGGGATATTCACTGGGACATATAACCCAAAATTGATGATATTGGCTTGCATCTTTGGTCTTAGCACAGTTAGTACTCATTGGTTTCCTGGATCGCAAATAATGACAACCCCAGTTCAACAGCCCAGGTGAAAAAAGATCTGGAGTCTACATGAATTGTTATCCTGGATTGATTTACTATTTCAAATTTCTAAATATTCAGCAATCAACATCTGGGCATTCTGGGTATCGGTCACGATTTGAGGATGAAAAACCCTCTGTGAAGAGATTGCAACTTAATCTCGGCCATGGGAATGTTGGGTAGTTGAATCATTTGGGGTGTGTGTTTTAGTGTGACCCATAGTAGGGGTCTGGCTCAAAAATGGGTACCAAGGTAGCCCAAAGTGCTGGCAATTTTTGGCAACAGGACACTGATGGTAATAGGCATATATTCCGATTTTCTATCGGCGCTGTGCTCCTGAAAATCGATATGACCATTTTGATCCATTCCTAGCAGCTACATTCTGTGATTCTGAACCAGTTCCCCAATAGGTCAATTCTATTTTGTTGGCGATCTCACTCCCGTTGGCTTAAATAGAGATATTAGAAATGCCATCCCATTTTTAGTTGCTAAATATGGTCAAATTCCAGGGTTTGCAACCAGGTACAGGGTGGATTGCAGCCTCCCAACATCCCATTGATATAGCAGCATTAATGATTAGGATAAACGGATAAACCCACTACTGACCGTTCACTACTGGAATCATTTGTTGATATTCAAACTTGGTTGATGAAGCCCCAGAAACATGGGTTTCTTTTGGACACATTTAAGGATTTCATCCGAATGGCTTCAATTTTTTATTGAGCATTAGATCACCCCAAAAGAAGATTCCCAAATCAGGAAAATGCAATCAGGAAAATATCGTCAGATTGAAAAATATATATATATATATTATATAATATTATATTAAATTATATTATATATATCCGATATTAATATCCGATACTAATCACTACTAATCCGAGATTGTGAACTAGTGTCACCGAATCTTGGCACCTGATTGCTATGGAAAGATCAAAGTAACTAGTCTTTTCATTGTGGTCACATATCACCATATTGTAGCTGGATATATCGAAACATTATAGATATCACCACATATCACTACATTACATATCACATATAGCCATGATTATTCCCGTGTTTGCTGGATATATTGAATCACCATTCGATATTGAATTAAATTATCAAACCACCATGAAAATCCCCATCAAATCGCTGATCAAAATCCCCATTTTCTCCCCATTTTCAATGGAGGACTCACCATTTTTGGGCCGTTTTTGTCCCGGAAAACTCGGGCGCTCCACGGCCAGGTCGGCACTGTTTGGTCCACGCCTCCTCCGTCTGCCGCTTCGCCGCGGGCCGTGGCAACGACGACGGCCACGATGGCCACGACGGAAACGGTGAACGCGAACGGCCGGCGCTGGCGTGTGGGGAGGACGCCTGGGACGCGTTTTGTCTGCACTTGGATGGTAGCCATTGGTAGCCCATAGCTGGGATTTATGGATGATTTATAGATATGTCATCCATATGTATTATGGATGATAGGGGTACATCATGGTACATCTATTCATAGATCATAATTGTGATGATTGATATGAGAGGTTTTGACCCATCCCCAATTGAACAGGTGAAATTCATAGATGGTCATGAACGCATTTCATATTTGGATGGTCATAGTACTGTAAATTATTACCCTCTGGTTATTTATATAACATAGCCATGGTATAGATGGCCCATAGAAATAGATGGTTTACCTATTAAAAATGGCGATTTTCCATGGCAAACTGTTAGTCATAACCAGATGGTAATAGGCATGTTGAAATCCTGATTGATCGAGGTGAAATCCCATCATTCATATGGGGTTTAGCATGTGCTGCGCACCAAAAACAGGGAGGATATATCGATGAAGTCTTTGACAAATGATGGTTGGTTGATGATTAGTTGGGGGATTATACTAACCAACATATTGGATAATTATCAGAATCCAAAGTTCGTGCATGCAAGTCATCAAACAAGTTGGTAATACGCAATGATTTGCCCCGGTTCAGCACCATTCTATCCACATTCGCAGGCAGACAGGCCAAGATTCCACAAGCTGTCAAGCTCCCATAAGCAGATCCCAAGCATAAACAGTAGCCCTCAACAGCCTCGATCTCAGGCAGCTTCGGCCAACTCACCGCCACCAGCACCGGCCGCATCGGCCGCACCGGCCGCATCGGCTTCGCCGGTGCCGCACCCGGCGGCGCCGCCTGCGGCGGTGCCGCCGCAGCGACAGCAGAGGGCGCAGAACCAGCGGCTGCTGCGGCAGCTGAATTCGGAGCTGAAGGATCTGCAGCGGCGAGCCAAAGCGGCACTGAAGGCCCAGGAGGCCCAGGGGATGCCAGTTTTGAGGATGGAAGACTCGAGATGAAGAGTTTGGATGTGAGCTGAGCGAGCTGGGGTTGGGAGTGATTTTTCTATGTTCCGGCCGGATGGAGATGAAACAAGAACGGTATGGAGATTCAACGAAGGGATGTTCACGCCCAACAGAAATGGGGATGTTCACCAAATTGAAAAACTGTGACGTGCAGTGATGGTCTCCAAAATGGCGAGTCTTATCCAGAATTGGTTGAGGATTTACAGGCAACCACAATATTTCCTAGGAATAACGTGGTTTTCGGTTTTGAATTTCCCTTAAACCCAATGACAATGGCATCACCAAAACATGTTGTTGAAGATTATGGATTCAAGTTTTTTATACCTGAATCACCGGCGAAGGTTGAAAACCCAGATGCTGACGTGTCTCTCGGAAGTAGTTGTATTGGGCGGTGAAGAAATACTGATGAAGGGCTTTGCAAGAAGGCAGGGGTGAAGAAGTATGGGCAGCAAACTTTGGAAACAAGCATATGTGTTGACGAAAATGATGGGAACACTACCTACTTCAACTGTTCTTCCATCTCAATCAAAGGCCTGTCAAGATTCCAATCCCAATATAGAGGCCAATGTGAAAATTAAAGCACTCCCCAGGATAGCTATGGGGAAGAGTTCCAATGCAAATGTATGCACGGAACGACATTGGATACTTGAAGGCCCCCTAGCAGTCTATTCTTTTCCTTGAGATGCTGGGTTCTGATATCAAGAGGCAATTTCCCACATCCAAAAGTCAGGTTGCTGATGAATTGATACCCCAAACTCACCGCTTCAAGCGGTATGTTTTCTTACACCTCAGATCCAAACGCTGATTTTTTGACCAAAAAGGGATGTTTCTTCTCAACGCCAACGATGAATATCAAGGATGTAGATCAAGTGCCCGCAGAGCAGGACGAAAAAACCATTGGTTCATCATTATCTGGTTGGTGGTTTGGAACATTTCTTATTTTCCATAGTATATGGGATAATCCTTCCCATTGACTTTCATATTTTTCAGAGGGGTAGGGCTCAACCACCAACCAGTTATTTTCCCCATCAATCTTGCCAGAAATTGGGGATCTCCTCCATTTTGGGATACTCCCCGATGAATCCTCTTAGTTACCCTCTGGTAAATAAACATAGCTATGGAAAATCACCATGTCTAAGAGGTAAAACATCGAACCATGTAAGTGAGCAAATTTACTGTAGCACACTCTTAAATTATGAGAGCCTACACCATCAATCACCATGTTCAATATATACCGTTATATATCCAATATAGCATGTTCAGCAAATGGGCCATCAATCCTGTTGGTGAATTGACAGTTGAGTATGTGGTGTTCCATTAACCATTCACTCCTGTTGGCCATTCAATCCTGTTCATGTTGAACACCAATATATGGCGTATTGATATATATATATATATGCATGGCCATCAATGTTAATATATTTGGTGTTCATTTAACCATTCACTCCTGTTGTTTTTGTCTTAATATATATATATATTTATATCCAACAAAAAGCGTATTTCTCGTGCTTCAGGTCACCCTTCACTGGTGAGCTCTTGTGGCTTGCCACCGATGCCGTGCTGCAGCAAGAGCACTTTTTTTTGGATCCGCAGCTCTTGAAGGCGACAGTGGCGCAGGAGTTTCACTTCGTGGAGGTCGGGCGAATCTGAAGCACAGAAACGCATAGGGAAACGCGAATCAAACCCTATAAGAATACCATTTCTGGTTGGTGGTTTCTAATATTGTTATTTTCCATAATATATGGGATGTCATCCTTCCCATTGACGAACTCATAGTTCCCATTGCCAGGTTTGATGTCGAGTTACCCTCCTGGTAATTTAACATAACTATTGGAAATCACCATTTTGAATGGGTAAATCAAGTATTTCGACTGGGCCATGTTCAATGGTTATGTAAACGTTTACCAGGTACCATAAAATCGTTGAGAAACATCCCAGCCAAATCCCAGCTATTTGTTGGGTGAACACAAGGGTACCGGATTTGGCAGCCCATATATATTCCATTTCATATTTCCATATATATATACATTAAACAGAACAGGCAGAGAGCGGCACATCGTTTCATTTATAGGGAAAAAAACAAAAAACGGCGTGAGTCATGAGTCAATAGCCCTCCAAATTGGATGGTTCAATCGTTTTATACAACGCATGACCAATACAAGAAATCCGCAATGGTTCATGGATGACGAGTTGCAGGGTGAGCAGGCAGACCAAGTGGCACGCAACTGAGATCTCTTGGCTCTGTCTACAAAGTATCATCAATCTACTGGAAACTATGAATCTCCATAGATAGATACAGTATGATACAGTATTATAAATTATAATCACTTTCAGTTTGGTCTCTGTCTATAAATATATCGATCACTATACACAAGTAGTTATACAGTATACTAATACATCATTTTTATCGTACATATATACATATACATATACACATACATATACATATACATATACCTATACATATACATATACATATACACATATACATACACAAATATACATACACAAATATACACAATGATACACACACACAAATACACAAGGATACATATACATAATCTATACATAATCTATACATACTCTATACATCATCTATACATCATCTATACAAAGTTCTATACAAAGTTCTATACATAATCTATACATAATCTATACATACTCTATACATAATCTATACATAATCTATACATAATCTTACATACATATATATATATATAGATAGATAGGTATACACAGACCCTTTTTTTGAGTTTCCAACCACCCCATCCAAAGGTCTGTGGCCTGGTGGACGACTTGTCGGTGCCCTGCGACTTCTCGGCCCAGCTGCTGCGTTACGCCGTGCTGTCGAACGCCCAGCAGGTGTTGCAAGGCTTGCAGGAAGCGAAGCGGAGGCTGCTGGCCCAGGCAGGTTGGATTACCAGCTGGAAATGGCCATGGAAATGATGCATTAAAAATTACGGCTATATGATTGGTATATATTCATCAATGGGGACATCCTGGAAGTAGCCGAAGTAGGGATTTATGGTACTACAGTATATTAATGTATGTATACCATCTGGTTATTTAACAGTTCGCTATGGAAGCCATGGCCCATTCACAGATGATGTTCCCAGCGAACGAAACCTCCATTTATAAGGGATTTTCCATAGCTATGTTAAATAACCAGAGGGTAATTGGTAGATATTCATCAATGGGGACATCCTGGAATCATCTATAGATGGGAGATATAGGTGGGGAAGATGAAAAATAAAAAACACATCATGAACCATGAATTTTATAGGGATTTCATGAGAGTTCGTTGAGGGATTTTCTGTAGGGGCCCCAATTTTCGATAGGATTTGATGCCAAAAATATTCTGCAGGTTGAGTTCTATGGTTTATGGTGAATATCACGAACTAGTTAATGGATGTTGAGTTCTATGGTTTATGGATGTTTATGGTAGATATAAGTATAAATAACATGAAAAATAACTATAGTTATGTAAAGATTCGGATGTTTTCGAATGGGCTTTTTGAAAAAACCAACATTCACATCACTGAAGGGCTTGCCGGGCACCATCCCGCCGGGACCCCTTTTTGGACTTCACCAGGGATGGGAGATTTATCGTTAAACATGTCCTGCGATTTAGGTGGTTTCAATCACTGGATTGGTTTTCTTGGGAAAATCTTAACCGGAAACCATGGTTTTTACCATCAAATTGATCGGGCTTTCCTGTAAATTTTCCCATCATCCAATTCTATGATTCAAACATGAATTTTTAATTTTCCATACATGGGATGTCATCCGAAAGCCATTGACGAACTCCATCATTTTTCAAGATGGTTATATAAAACCACCAACCAGAGATAGTAGCTATAGTTTATAGTAGCTATATATCACAATAGTAACTATATAAACCATAGATATGTTTATAAACCATAGCAACTAGTTCGATGCATCACCTATAAACCATAGGAACTAGTTCGATATGTTTATAAACCATAGTAGCTATAGATATATCACCTATAAACCATAGTTATAGTCCTATATGTCTGTCGGGGCTGAGATGTTTCGAAGTTCACCATTTGTTTCCGACAGGCGAGAAGTGACGCTGTCAGGGCGGTGCTGGAGCAACACTTTGAGCTGCTGAGTGCTGCGGTGGTCGCCGCAAGATGAGCACTACAGTGACCCCCTGGTATTATAACGGATATCGCAATCATGGCCATTTAGAGTGAGTTTTCCGATTAAAAATGGTGATTTTCCAAAGATATCATTGGATATACCCTCTGGTAAACGTTTACATAACTATGGAAAGATCCACCATGTTTCATGGGAAACTTCACTATTTCTATGGTGATTTTCCAGTTATGTTAAATTACCAGAGGGTATCGTAATAATCATAGATGCCCCAAATTCCCATTGGTTGGTTGATCAATCCCATTGGTTGGTTGATTAATAGAGGGGTTTGAAGGTTTACCCCTAAAACAACAGGTTTCTATGATGATAGATGGGATTAACCAGCTCCCGGCCCCTCTATTTTTACCAAAAGGACATTATTGACCAATACACTGAATCAGGAACAGCCTGGATGAATTTTTGAGCGGGAGACTTTCGACTGCTTTTTCGTTGTCTTGACACCATTTCGCAGATCAAAAGGTGGATCTCAGGCTGGGGAATAGCCCTGGCCTCCTACGAGCGCTTCTCAATCAGAAACATATTTCTGGTTGGTGGTTTGGAACATGAATTTTAGTTTCCATGTCATATATGGGATAATCCTTTCCATTGACGAACTCATATTTTTCAAGATGGTTATTGCACCACCAACCAGATTTTCAACGTGGGCATCGCTGGGATGAAATCATCCCATCAATGTCTTCGCCAAAAAAATGTGTTGAAAGCCAGGAGTTTCACCTAGCAGGAATTCATCTAGAACCTCCCGCATAGGACGTGGAGATGCATGAGGCTTTGGCCCAAAAGAGACCAGATTTGATGCTGCCTGATAGGCAAACCTACAAGGGGTCCCCAAATCGATGGCAAAGCATTACCTGAAAACTATAGATGTCATAGTTTCCAGCTTTCCAACTTGTTTTAACATCTGTTTGGAGGATAGTACAATCTCTATTGAAAGAGACTTCCGACTTCAGAAACAGCACGCTGCCCCTGCGAGACTTGGGCAAATTCTACAGCATCAGCCAGCTTCTTAGGAAAGGCATTTTATCAGCTTAAACAATGGGGTATTGAAAACAGCCCACTACTTCTTGGTGTTGTCGCCATTTTCATCCAGTAAATAATGGGATTTCATGGGATTTTGAATTCTTCATTGCCGCATTTCTATATCGTTGCCAGTAAAACCAGATATCTTTCAGCATTTAGATGCCATGGGCCATGTGGCAGATTCGCAAGAATACCAATTTATCACCATCTTTCACATAGGTAAATTTAACATAGCTATGGAAATCACCATCTAGAATAGGTAAATCCATAGGGTAAATACATGGTAAATAACCAGCATAACTATGGAAAATCAATGGTTCAATAGCTAACATAACTATGGAACATCACCATTTTTCATAGGTAAATCCAGAGGGTAGATACATAAACCTTATTTTACATCAATAATTCAAACCATCTCAATAATCCATGTCTATGTTAGTCATAACCAGAGGGTATATCCCAACATCCCAAGCCAATTCTGACGGTAGATACGTGGGCCATGGGCAGCCTGGGCCCTCATTGACAGGTGAAGGATTCGACCTTCCTGGAAAGCTGTGGCGTGGCAGTGTCTCGGACCTTGATGATTTCTCGGACGTGGAAAGCCAAGGTTTACGAAGTGGTGTATCATTGGATTGGTTTTCTTGGGAAAATCTTAACCGGAAACCATGGTTTTTACCATCGAATTGATCGGGCTTTCCTGTAAATTTTCCCATCATCCAATTCTATGAGTGTAGCGTGTAGAAAGTGCTGTTGAAGAGACTAGTTGCTATAGCCTGCCATGTTTTTTTTTTTTAAAATAAGATTTTGTTCACTTACTGGAGGGTAATGTTCACTTCATGGGCTGGACAACGTTCGCCAATGTTTTTTTTTGCAAAAAACGATTTTGTTCATTTACTGGAGGGTAACACTTACAGGGAAATATGAGTGAAGAAGTAGTGTCAAGAACACATGTGCATGGTCAACCGGTGACGCATTAGGAATAGATACATGAAAACGACAGTGTGCACACCATACACTTAGAGTAATTGCTGAAGTTAGTTGGTATCACTGCATGGATATTTAGGTAGACTGTTTTGGTATTGTTAACTTTGTATTCCATGATGTTGAATCAAAGACATATTTCCCAGCAACACCCACTAATTATTGGGGATCGGCTGCAACTTTGCCAACAGACCAATCAACCTAGAGCTCCTGCTCACAGCAACCCTGGATACAGTCAATGTTGACCGCATCAACAAATGCTACTGCATATTTCAGCAAACTTCATGCAAAAGAAATCGTGGCGACTGGTGGTTTGCTCACTAGTTAGATTCATGATCCCGCTAATGATCCCGCTATTTGGTTGCCCTCTGGTTATGACTAACAGTTGGCGAACTTGAAAATGACCATTTAGTTCGTGGATTTTCCCATTGAACATGGTGATTTTCCAGTTCGCTATGTTAGTCATAACCAGATGTTAATGTGGTAGTGAGATCAAGCAGTGATCAGTTTAGGACTGACCCAAACTCGATAGATCCAATACAATCCGCCAGGGATAACCCCCGATTTCCAGAACTTGTCATTGGCATTGATGGGTCATACCGTATACCCCACAGGTAGCAGTCTGAAAACAGGATACTCCCATTTATATTATATGCACCATGCAAAAACGCCATAGGGGGGCCCATCCCCCAAATTGAGACAGAGCCCGATATCATGCTAAGTTGCTTCCAAATATTCCACAATATACATATGCACCAGGAAGTACACTCATATAGTAAGCACCAAAACGACGCCAAAACGTATGTCCAGGATGGTAGCTTGATAATGTTTCCATCCAAAAAAGATCCAGGTGTCCAAGGTATTTTCTATCCATGGCTGGGGGATACTATAGTTTATCCATGTTTATCCCCACTCTCCATACAATGGCTATACATCATGTCTTTCGTAAGACTCTGGGCCTAAGCCTTAGGATCTGATTACAACTTGCTTCGGCGGCAGGACTGCAGCGGTTGCGAATTTCATTTCTTGAGTTTACCAGTTCTGCCAAGACTAGGGGTGAAATATGAAAAAAGCCCGGAAAGAGTTGGTCGCGGCAGGAACCGCAAATGTGCCGAAGCCTTTGTGAAGGCGAAGGGCGCCAAAGGCGATGTCGGAGATTGAGATCATCTGGCTTTGGGCAATGGGAGAATCATCATTTTTTGAAAATCACTCAAGCTTTTTTTGTTGGATCATTGAAGGGGTTTAGGACTCGTAACTTATTGTTGACCTTATCTGGTTGGTGCTGACTGGAACCATGGAATTTTATGACTTTCCATTGGGAATTTCATCATCCTGACTGACTCATATTTTTCAGAGGGGTAGGTCAACCACCAACCAGATTATCATTAACCATATAATAACCATTAATATTAACCATTAGTAACCAGGTATATTAACCACAATGGTAGGTCAACCACCAACCAGTTATTGACTTTTTCACGTAAAGGGGTCCCACAGGATCCTCAGCAAAAAAATCAGGCCATGAGAGTTATACCTCAGTTGGGATTTCAATGGGATTCCAGAATTCATCACTGATGCTTTTAGGGCTTTTATGGGGTTTTAAGTATCAAACAGATATGGGATGCATCACTGGTACATGAGGGTTGATTAGGTTGATGGGTTAAATTAGGTGTTTTTTTTGGGTGATTTTTTTGGGGACTGTTTGGCGACGTACAATAGGGATATTCATGCACACTAGCCAGTATCATGGGACGTTTCATGGCTCATTTGTAAAATGCCAGGTTTGCTGTCTCAGAAATGATTCCCAAATGAGATCCCCATTGGGGAAACTGGGATCCGTCCAGGGGAACCAAGTGATTTTTCTTAATGGTTTTGACAGCTTGACCTTTTTTTCAGCAAGAATCAGTCATGTATGGTAATCCACCAACAGACACTTAAGATACTGGCAAATAAACCAGCAAAGAAATTCTTTGGGACATTTTGGGATGGGTTGAAGCCCCAATTCCGCTGCCTGCGATGTGGCTCATCTGAGCAATCCACGAAAAGAAAAGAAACATCCTTTCCAACCATCAGGAATCAAGACAGTGGGAATCAGGTTTGGCATACTGTCGGGTTTATGATACATAAATCTAGAATAATCTATATAGAGTAATGGGATGGAGCACCACCGAACGTGGGAAGCCCCGTGAGGCCTTCATGCCCTCGGTCATCCAAATATCGCGAGGGAGCATGGAAGATTGATATTAATCAAAGAATCATGGGAGGTCCGAGCATATATGTGTACATATATGTATAAACATATATATATATACTGTGATTTCCACACCATCTCTGGTCAGTGCATGTGATGTTACTGGAAGATTCATGAGACAATGAGTTGTCCCTTAACGGTAGAATGTCCAGCAGGGTTCACAACATCCATTTTACTGCAGGGTGTGCGGCTCAGGGAGGCCGAGGGCTTAGGGTGTGCCCACTTTCGATAGACCTTTTGGCGCGGCCGCCATACGGAGGAAAACAGATTCCATTTGTGGTGCCCAGGGGGCATTTGGTGATCAGTGTGGACCAGGTGGTCCAAAAGGGAACCCAAACCGGCAGGTTGTAGGGACTCTACTACCATTGTGGCTGTGTCTGCATTGGTAGCGGAGCTCCTGCAGCCGGCTGGGGCGGGAGTGAAGAGCCATAGCCGGAAGCTGCAGATCCCATCATGGACCAAAGTGAAATGGGCCAGGGGGCCTCAGGGAGTTCAGGGAGCAACACCTCGCTCTCTCATCTTCCTTGGACCATGATACCCAGCTTCAAGCCAGGTGAAACTGATATCAATGAGTATGCCAAGAAGCTCGAGTTTCTAGCATCGCTGTGGCCTCCTGAACACCTAGCACATCTAGCCTCTAGGGCAGCCATGATGTGTGAAGGCAGTGCGTTCAAGCGAGTGATGCGCTTGGAGCCGTCCAAACTGAAGGTCAACTCCCAGGAAGGAGTGAAACTCCTAGTGACCACACTGGGGGGAATCTGGGGTCGCAGCACCTTAGAAGAGAAGTTTGAGCGGT